CTTTATTAATTCAATTCGAATTGCTGAAATATTTAAATTTGCTTTCTGAGCAAATCAGACCACACAGAAACTTCGTATCACAGTACAGTAATTTAAGGCAAAATGCAGTTAGGTATATCGCAGACGTCGGCGAAGCATGGCAGTGTTTTGAGATCTTCTGCGCACTTCACAAAATCAACGTATGCACGACTAAAACAAACACAGTTGGCTTCAAATATCTGAAGAAACGTCCAAACTAATAACTAATGAAACCGGATTAATCTACAATTTGTAACTTGGGTTTAGTAACAAGAACACCAGAGCAGCAAACTGGTCTACTGGCAAGAAACTCTAATGATACCGGGTTTAAGCCGTATGATAAAAACACGTCCGGCTATGACGGGTTCAGCAACAAACTTCGATAGTCGTCCGTACCGCTGGTAGGAATAATAATTTCCTGTCAGTTCTCACCGGTTTTACAAACGTAGTCCCACTGTCGCTTTTCTTCGCTTCTAGTAGCCAAGGAACGGTTTAAACAGGCCACAGCTCCATGATATTTTAGTTCCTGTAGCATACAAAGGCAAAACTGCAAACTGGCTGTATGACTAAGTCGTGTCAATCCGGAGAAGCGACAAGAGATTGCTATTCTTACAGGCGGTACTAAAAACGAACAATTTGCAAATAAAACTACACATGCAATGGATCGATGTATCTACATCGGTATTTGAACAGGTTACTGTTTGGTTCCGTTCCAAAAAGCAGTGCAGCGTTGCGCCCATGTACTGTAGGAGCCAAGAGCCATTGCAAATAGTTTTCTAAGCTACTGGAAACAAGGTACGGTGTAACCACGAAGTGAGAATCCGGAAAAGTGAAGGGAACCGAGTTTTAACTTCAAATGGGCGTCCAAAATCTGAGTCACAACAGGCAGACAAACTTTTAATTGGGAAGCTGTCATCATCAGCCATCGATCCACTGCTAAACTGAAGCCTCTCCAACACAACACAAACTTGTCTGCTGATTTGTATCCAGCTTGTTCCAGCGAACTTTATCTCATCTTGCTATCGATCTGGAGGTCTGCCTCAGGGCTGCTCTCTTGGAACTCAGTACAATGTCTTTCTGGTCCAGTCGATTCTTCTTGCAACTGTCGGTTTTACACTCAGGTAATAATATCGCAGCCTTGTTGGTGCTCCTACTCGTCTTGTCTTGATATTCCCAACATGAATATATCCTTGAAGCGCTGTGTAGTCTGACGTTTATGAATAACTTAGAATCCACGTTTCGCATCATTATTTCGATAATATATAGCCATGATCATAAATGCATATTCGTGAAATGTCGATCAGCATCATATGTCCTTTAAACGATAATCTTCCATAAATATTTCGACTATTCTTTGAGTCAGTAGACTTCTCGTAGGAGCTTCTTGGCATGCTGTTAGATATTTACGCCAAAACCAAGTTATGGTTTATCATGCAAATTTTCAGATTTAGGATTTAATATATGTATGACAGTCATAACAGTGTCTATGTTACATTTCCCTAGAAGGAGGACGAAACGTCGTGTCATTTTCTAGAAAATACGGGCGAAGTCTCATTACTGCTCAGGCAGAATTATGTATCCGCATTAAAATCCGTTAAATTAAATTAAAATCCGCATTATTATCCGTTCTAGAAATATTTTTTAAACAGCATGTTTCATAAATTTATACGCTGAATAATTTCATGGGAATTATCAAGATCAACGAACCCAGCAACACCAAGTTCTGTCATGAGATGACAGCACACAGATAGGGTGTACTTGGCATCAGTCGTAACCGATCTTCGAATTAAGGAGCGTGTAGGTGTGCTTTTGAAGACAGATAAATATCAAAAAATAGAACAATACCGAGCAACTGCATCCCCGTCTTCTTTTGCATTCGTACGCAGATCCATCAGCTGAGAAAACAGTATTTTCTCGAAATTCTGACGGATGTTTTGAAACACGTACTGTAGGTCCTTCAGTTCGAGAACATCCTGTAGATTGTCAGCGAATCGAGTCAAGCGTTTGGAAAGCTGCTGGAACGGCGATGATGAACGTAGATCATTTTCTGACCACTTACCATAGAATGAACGAAAGATAAATAACATACGCGTCTATAAACAAAAACAAGGGATACTTTGTCGAAGCATTCCCTCATATGCGGCTCGACAAGCGAATACAACTGATTCAACACTTCGGCAATGTGGTCATTATAGTCCTAAAACAGGCATATGACCTCATGCGAAAAGTTTTAATTAAGCAAATATATGTAACATCTGGAGACAGATTATTGTCTCAACATTAAACACATTAAGAAGAAAGGCGGAACGATGCTTCATAATCTTCTTATTGGGGAATACTAAGGATAATTAACCATAAACTTTTCATACGGATTTGCATTTCCGGCATCTTTCTATCTGACAGGTATTTACTCCACTACCAGTAGATTTCTAGTCCCTAGGATATATGGCTATAGAGGTCTTCATGACTCCTACAGGGTCTACGATGCTCTTCACCACCGCAGCAGAGCTAAGTTTTTCGAACTGTCAATGGAGTTGTTTTTAGAGGTTGCCCAAGCTTCGCTCTGCTGACGTTTAGCAACATGTACGGAGAAAAGCAGGTGAGTAGAGTAGCAAAACTCCACTTTGCAAACGAACTCTACTTACTGTAACTACTCAGGCAAGTGCGAAAAGAACGACTGTTTGGAATATATTCTGTACAGCGTTCAGTGTGAAATAAAAAAACTATTTAATCTGGTTTCAAGGACCTATAACATCTTTGCTTTTGGCTACACACGCCACAGGAACGAGTTGAGAAGGCCACCGCTTAAAACACTGTAGTACCTGCAGTGCATAAGTGTATCTTGTGACAGTGAACTGGTGAAAGCAATGTCTTACTTGTCAAGTGATGTTTCATGAGCTTTCTCAGTGGTCCATAAGTAAGCTGCTCGTTTCATTAAGGAGCGGTTCTCGAGAATGCAGTTATCTGAGCCGCCTACACCCCCCTCCCAAAAAATAAAACAAATTTACACAAAATGAACATCGCAAGCTACCTTTAAAACCTGACTGAAATGTCTCATTAGATGTTGCTGAGCCGGAGATATGTGCGAGGCGAATAGTTTTTCCACGACTTCGATGAGGGCAACAACGAGCTGCAAGCACCTGCAAGACAAACCTGAAACGGTGCAGTAATTGAAATTTGGTGAGAAACTAAGTAGTTAAGGCTCATAGAGAAAAAAACAGCTGCGGCTTACTTAACATCTTAGACGTGATTGTTTTCAAGCCAACCATCTGAAGGGCGCCGGCACCTAAGATCAGTTGACAAGTTCTGGAGTTGAAAATTTTTAGAATGTCAACTAAAGGAAGCAAAAGATCAGCAGCAATATAAGGAACATCGTTGACGAATCCGCAATACTGGGCCACAATTTGTAGAAGGATTAAGACCGTGCTGAAAAGAAAAAAAAATTAATTTTGCAGGTCAGTTACACTGAAACTGATACAGAAAAATACCATAGAAGTTACAAAGCGAAGCAAAATACACCAAGATAATTTTTAAGGCCAATCTAAATCGCTCAGAGCGGTGGGACTGACAGTGGCGCAATGGAATAGTGGTTTGTTTTGCATATTGAAAGAACCTGGATTCAAACCCAATTCGCGGCGAAAACCTTTTCTGATTAACTGTTCTTCCACTCAGCCAAAAATTCACCACACTGTGGTGAGGTGCAACAAGCCCAAAAACGGTAACAGTTGTTGACTTGCGAACAGCGTGAACAACATAGTGTTTAGGTTGGTAATATCAAATCATGGGGGACCTACGGCAATGCCTTACGGCTGCAACTTGTCTTAACCTCGCTGGCCTAGAATCGCCTTGAATCTGATAGATGATAAAAATCAGCACAAGGAGTAAACGCAAATTAGTTTAAAAGTTTGAAAAAAAATTATGCGCACTAAATATCTTATAGAATTTAATATCCTTAGACTAAAGTAAACTCGTCCTTCGGCTATTTCATTCAAAGTTAAATGAATCTTAAAAACGTATTACCAAAACGAGAAGCTGTAGATCGTTTACCAGAAATATTTGGCGCCGCTTGACGCCATTCATAAAGAACTATCAGAAGAGAACGTTTAACGTTGAAAAATGTGTAAAAAGATAGCCATAAGTACTATTAGTGAAAATCCATATGGTAGAACATTAAATAAACAGCAGGCGCCTTTACAGATGAAAAAC